GAATGGGTTGGTGCTTTGTGAACTCCACCCGGAAGTCACGAAGAGTGGGTTGGTGCTTTGTGAACTCCACCCGGGTGCCTCGGTAAGATGAGGCCTGACATTCAAGTAAGAAGAATGGAAAATAAGAGAAAGAGAGAGGAACAGAATGAGTAGAAGTCACAAGAGTGGGTGGGTGCTTTGTGATCTCCACTTAGCGTGCCTCGGTAAGATGAGGCTGTGACATACAACAGAAAGTTAATAGAAAAGAGAGCTATGTGAAAGAGAAAAAGAAAAAGAAAATAAATGAGAGGAGAAGAGTGTAAGGAAAGAATTAAGAGAAAGAGTTAGGGGATAGACGAGTAGAGGATTTACTTACTAAAAATTATTTTGTGCTCACCCCGTTGTTTACTTTTGTTGCAGGATCTAGGTGAGGACGCGGTCGAATGGGCGTTGGCAAGCGAGGAGCAATAGCTACACTGTCCACTGTTTTTTGATAACTTTTCAAATGATACCTTACTTGTATAAAGAAGATGATTATTGTATTAAAATAAAATTTGGGCCCATTTACTTTTGCTAATTAAATGCATTTTACTTTATGTATTTCTATGAGTAACCTAGTATGAAGCAGTATTACAATATATAATCTTCTAAAACTTCAAAAATTTATTATAAATTTGTTCACCATATGATCAACATCCATAATCTAAATCCTAATAAAGATTTATTTAATTTACCTTATTATCAAAATAATGACTAGTCACACAAATATAATCTTGTTTAGCTCTACCACTCTAAATATCGGCGTTAGAGCCACACTAACATTACAAGTATGTATTTATTTTTAATTCTAATTTCATTTGTTTAAACATTTATTAAATCATTTCTAGTTGCAGTTTTAGAATAACTTTTAAATCCTGGAAAAAATGAATTTTGAACAATTTTCAAAATATTTATCTTCAGCCATATTAATAGGTTGATCAGTTTGAACATATATAAAGCTAACTGTTCCTTATACATCAGAATTATACGCCAATTAGTACCCATATAGTTATTTGAGTTTGATTGCTTTCTCTATCCATGTTGATTAATATGTTTATTAGAATGCCTTTTTAATGTACTAGTACATTACCTGAATCAGCTTATAATATTTTCACAGTATTTGATCTCGCTTTCTTGACTTGAACGTCATTTCTGTCTCGTAAAACTTGTCGAAATGCGCCCAACGTCTGATGTGTGTCTGTTTCGCTTTCGACGGCAGTTGATGATCCCGCCTCAGCTGAGATGAAGTTGGATGAGCACGATGATTATGAGGACGACTTCTAGAACCACGGGAGCTGTTGGAATCGGGGGCATATTTTGAGGTGTATCGGATTCTGAGAAGGGGAAACAAGACTTTGAATCTCCTCCTGCATTTATGTTAGTAAAATCAACGGGACTAGGACTAGGATAGTAGTTTCCTTCATCATGTAATTGATGGGAGAGAAAAAATTATCCATTGTAATTGAAAAAAAAAATGATGTAGAAGAAATAAAAATTAACGAAAAAAGAGAATTGGAATAGGGAATTGGAATTTGGAAAATTGGAAATATGAATTAAAAATTGCAAAAACTAATAAAAATTAAAATACGAGCAAATTGATAACAAAGAGATTAAGAGAATAAATGAATAATTGAGAGATTAGAGATTAGAGAATATGAGAGAATTTGAGTTGTGAGAAAAATGTGAGAGTTTAGGGCCAATTTATATAAAAAAAAAAAAATTGGGAAAGAAAAATGACGAACGGCTATATTTCAAGGGTAAAGGGATAATTTGGAAAAAAAATTAAATTTTTTTTTTTCGGCCAACCCACCGGGTTGGCTGTTGTCAACCCGACAGGTTGGCCGTTATTCTATAACAGTCAACCCACCGGGTTGACAACAGCCAACCCGGTGGGTTGGCGGGTTTCTTTTGAAAGAGACAAAACAGCAACCTGCCGGGTTGCGAGTTGCCATTTTGCACCCCGGCCCGCCCAGGGGTTGCTGCCAGGTTCAACCCATTTCATTGCGGGCCGGGTTAGGGTTGACCCACCTAACCCGACCCATTTGTTCCACCTCTAGCTGGAACTTAAGGGTGAATTCTCAATGCCTAATGAGAGAGGTCAACCTCTGTTTATATAGTGAACTCAAGGGGTCCAAATCCTAATGGGACTCTGAGTCCTACTTGGCAGGTGAGTTCTCTTTTTCGGAAAGAGATTAGATTTGTTGCCTTTATTAGTTTAAGCTTTCTTCTTTGAGTGAGATACAGGATCTTGTTAAAAGAGGAGTTTGGTCAGGATTCAGATCCTTGTTATGGACTATTGTGGGCGAATGGGTCGGACCCAATTCAACTTAACTCAGGGGGTGGCCCAACTCATAGAGCAGGCAGTTCCCAATGTATTCTAAGCATCAGCTCAATCAGGATTGGGCTAAGAGTTTGGGTCATTACATATCAATGATGCCATTGGACCTCATTAAGTCCAATATGATTTTTGGCCCATACGATGTTTATTTGATTGTTTATGTTTACAATCTGACCTACATATGGATGGGTGACGTGGATCAAAATTTGACGTTTCAAAGGTTCGTCATGCTCCATTAAGTGGCTGTTATGTGCAGTCTCCTCCTGATCTTACAGCAATTCAAAGGGTTGGAGGGTGGGGTGGAGTATAAAAAGTACATAAGAAGATTTTTCAACCATGAGGCTGCATGTAAATAATCTGACAGCCGTTGCTATTGCCGTATGCAAAGAAAGCATTGAGATATTGACCCAACGAAGCTTTTGACAATTATGGAAATTCCATATTTAGTTAAACTCCCAGCATAGACTTTGACCTTGGAGGACTGCAATCCTTGTGGTATTTTCCATCAACCAGTGTGAGATCAGTAACTTGACATTTTTGTCAGCAAATTCAGGCAAAACGTGTCCATCATCAAAAGTCTTTATATGACTTCATTATGTTTCGCTAGAAAGTTTTGAGCTCGTTCTGAAGACCTTCCCGTTTATACTTCTTTCACTCTCTTTATGGACTAGGCGCCGTCTTATACTAATTCCAAGCACCAAGTTTTTGCTGCTTGAATCACAATGACAATTGATAATGAGGTTCCCCCAGTTGTAATGTTTTCCAGAGAAAGTTCATTACTATTTAAATAAATTTTGACTTCATAGTTATTCCTTTTGTTTCGATTTTCTGGTCTGATACATCTGTGAGCTCTTAATGCCATTTGACTGCTTCTGTTTGTTCCATATATAGCGCAGAAATTGGATGCGTCCATTACTGAGGATGAAGTATCTGGACAAGAATTTTCCTGGAGATGATTTTCAACAGAAAATAAACCAAAAACCAGCGTCATGCTATCAACTCCTACACGATCCACGAATCACAAGGTTCAGTAATATTATAATATGAAAAGTATTAAATTCGATAATGTTACGGAATGAGAATAAACTATAAACATATTATACATTATTTCTGATATCAACTTTGACAGGCAGGATCCACTAAATAAAAAAATAAAGAGAATAGAATCCTACCCATCTTTTACTTTCCATCTCTACCTGGTTAGAAATGGCAGTTCTGTATTGGATATCTTCCCTCCTTTGTTTGAGATTGTGACACAAAGTTTTGTCTTCGCTAGCTTACTCCTTTTTTTGCCATCCAGATAAATCTCGACAAGTTACATTATTTTTTAGGCCTTTGGCATTCTGCATTCCAACTGGCAGTTTCTGTTACACACTAGTAAACACTGATATCATTCGGCACGCGTCATAATTTCTACAAAATAAATGGACTTCAAGTCAAACGCTGTCGTTTCTTGTGATAGATAATTAACAAGATTATTATCTGTGGGCATGATGAAGATGTAATTAAGGTAACTGAATTTGGGATCCTCTTCTCTTTATGGCCACAAATTTTTTTATCACAACCCAGTAATCTAGTGGTCAATACGAAGACCTTTATTTTTCATAGTCTCAATTTCTTCTAATAAGTTAAATCATTTCGTTAATTTTCTTTTTCTTATTCCAATTGCATCAATAAAAGATAACTTCTATTCATTTTATTATCTTTCTTTGGTTGTTAATCCTATTCAAGTCTTCATGAGCGATGACCTTTCATAGAGATGATCACTGAAACTTTTATTTAACTAGTAATTTTAGAGTCATAAAAAATTAATTAAAGTGTACACAAATCAACAACAAACATCCTCGTTGTATCATTATATAGTATAATAGATACTAAATTCTTTTTTTTATATAATATGAAAGATCACACGCTTAAAGTGTGATATAATCACCCCGCACGTGTATATTAACAAAAACATTTAAAACCCAATTGGATTTTATGGATATTATTCTTTTCCGGATATTTGATTAATATAATTGTTAAAAATATAAAAACAGAGCATTTGTTTGATGTGTGTGAGGAAGTAGACAGAAGATACTCTCAATAATGAATAGTTGTGAAATTAAAAAGAGAATGGAAAGTCTTTGATAAATGAGGACCGTTGATTAAAAGTATTTCTTGAAAATAATATTAATTTATTTTGGTACCCCTCTTTATGCGCCAACAAGGAAAGGTCGTGATCACCCATCCCATCAAACTACAAAACCTTCTCATACTTTACCACGGTCCCCTCAAACAAATAATGGACAAAAATGAACGGTGAAAACTCATCTAAAAAATAGAGAGCACTGAAAGAACGTAGGAGCAAACACAGAGGAACAGATAAAAACTAAGAGAGAGACAGAGGAAGCATAAAGCAGAATGCCAGAGAATCCAAGGAAGAAGATGAACAAGTACATTTCAGTTGGTGGTTTTAATTGGATATCCTTCTTTTCTATAGGCTTGTAGCCATGGACCCATCTCCCCTCTTTTACCCATAATTCTGTATATATTTAATTTTACAGAAAACTAAAAAGAAAAAATACCATTTTGATCCGACGGTTGTTATGAACCGGTACTCCTACTGGTTGTTCGAAAAATATTATATATATCCCTGAAACAAAACAAAGGACTTTCCCAGAACGCAGTTGGTGGGTTGTTCTTCAAACTCGAAGCCGATAACATTACTTAAAGGATTATAATAAATTAATAATAATATTGTTGTTTATACTAATAACAATATTATCACCAAACGTAAGCTCAATGTTTCATTTTGTTTGCTTCCTGTTATCTTTTTCATGTTGGTTTCCTTCATCATCTGTGTTCCTTACTAAACTTTGTTATCCAATTTCTTTTGGGTTACTTCATCGTTGTCAGAGACCACTGTTCATGTGATTTGTTTTTTATTTTTATTTTTTTCCCTATCTTTTATGTGTTTGCTTGGTTTTTTGTTTGTTTGTTTGTTGCGGGTTGTTAATTTATAGTCGTGCTTTGTGGCTTGCAGCTGGAGTGGAAGAAAGGCAAAGTGAACCCATTTGTAAGCAGAATAGCAGCAAGCTTGAGGCCAAAAGCTATGCCATTGAATATAGTTCACGATAAAGATGGATTGCCCAAAATTATATTGACTGAGCCAACTGGGTCATCTGCTGAGGTCTGTTTTAGTTTCTTTTTTTTTTTTTTTTTTTTTGTGGGGGGGGTGTTGGGTTTTAGCATGAATTTCTCTGGTTTTATTTACTCTTTATTCTGGATGTAATATTACTTGTAGTTGTTGATGATATTGTTTCGATTTTGAAAGAAGGGTTTTGGGTTTGAAGGTCTGTAGATTGCTGAAATGGTTTCAGAATTTAGAAAGGGATTAGAGGTATTTCAACTAATCGGTGTTGCAAACTGGTAAAGTTGTATGAGAGACGGTTGAATTTAGGAGAGCGAAATAAAGGTTTTATTCTTTTTTCTTTTTTTTTTTTTTCTTTTTTTTTTTTTTGTGCTAAATCAAAGAATATATGTTGAGGATTAAAAGTGGCATCTTAAGAAACTCCCCTTCTTTTAGCTACATATTTGATTATTGAGCTAAAATATTGCTGTCTGAGGCTGCAACACGAGAAACTCAAGAGGGTGTATAAGGTCAAGTTGCATTTGTTTTCTATGTGATTTGGTTGCGAATACAGTTATGAAACACTTCATGATCTAGAACTTAAGTAATTTATGGAAATGTTTTTTACATTTGTCTTTCACTTTTCAATATGGTAAAATTTTCCCGTGTTCTTTTAAAATTTTGTATTAACATTGAATTGATGTAAAGTGAGAAACCTTGTTGGTCTGCTAACTAACTGTTTGACTTAAAAATGGTCTCAGGTGCTTTTGTATGGCGGGCAGGTTGTTTCTTGGAAGAATGAACGAAGAGAAGAACTGCTTTTTTTAAGCAGCAAGGTAAATTAGTTCTTGTCATATTTGTTTATAAGGAATTGATGATCTTAAAGTTAGCAGCCCTTGTACTTTAATTCTATATATCTTTTTAGTCCACAATTTCTGCAATTGGAAACTCCAGCTTCTTTTGCAGTGTTTTAAAGAGGACATAAAATGTGGCTAGGTGATGAAATCAACTTGCATTCTTCAAACAGTGAATTAGATGGATAATAAAGATCATGAGGAAACCACTTTCAATATGAGAGAAAATTAAAAGCAAAAGTCAATACTGTAATTCTTGTCATGTGCTGTCTGGCGTAGTATATGACAGTAGGAAGGAAAAATTGCGCTTCGAAGCTTAACCTACTAATATTTATTTTGTTTTCTGATTTAAAATTTCCTTGATTTTGATGATCATTTTCATGCATTTAACTCTCTTGTTGCATGGAAAATTCAGACCTTCTTTTTCATTATTCATTTTGATACTCTTGTTTCATAGAACAAATTTATTCCACTCCTCAAGCAGACCTCAGAGAAGTTTCCATTGTTTGTGAAATTTACAATAACCATAGCAATGGTTCCAAAAGAAGTTCCTTTTATAATTTATTTTAACATGGTGGCTTTATCTGTTCTGCAGGCATTTTGGAAACCACCTAAAGCCATCAGGGGAGGCATACCTGTCTGCTTTCCACAGGTTGAATACCAGTGAGCCTAACAAAAACTTTATGAGCTACCTTTTTGCAACTATGGTTCCTAATATATTACTGCCTATGCAGTTTGGAAATCTAGGTTCTCTAGAGCAACATGGATTTGCAAGGAACAGAATGTGGTCATTGGATGATGACCCTTCTCCTTTGCCTCCAGCTAACAACCAGTCATCTGTCGATCTGATATTAAAGTCCACAGAAGAGGATCTAAAGACCTGGCCACGTGGGTATGTTTGTGAATTTGAGATCAGTACCAGAGAAGAATTGATGTGGAGGGGTAACACCACTATTTGACCTATAAATCTTCTTCCTGGTTATTTTGCAGCTTTGAGTTGCGTCTTCGTATTTCTCTCAGTGCTGGCAAGTTGACTTTGATCCCTCGTGTGAGAAATGTGGACAGCAAGGCCTTTTCCTTTACATTTGCACTGCATAATTACTTATCTGTATCAGACATCAGGTTTTCCCAATAAATTCAGAAGCTACTGGTTTTGTTTGCTATGGTGATGACTTGATGTTTGTTATTATTGTCGATCGGCGTCTAGAATTGTGCTGATGTTATGATCAACTTTTAATTACACATTTCTTATCCTATCTGAGTTTGGAGAATATTTCATTCTTCTCCTTTTCAGCAGAGTTGCTTGATGATATTTAATTTGCAGTGAAGTGCGTGTCGAGGGCTTGGAGACACTTGATTACTTTGATAATCTGATGCATAAAGAAAGGTTCACAGAGCAGGCAGATGCTATTACCTTCGATGGCGAGGTACTACTTGTTTCTCTTCTTTTGCATTACATCTGATTTGGAACTTGGAATGGGAAAATGTCACCAAACACATGAGCATAAGGTTGCTGATGAACTGCAATTTGATGTTGTTTTGACATTTCTCGTCATTCTAATTTCATGTTTTGATTAGAGCAGTTAACTTTTTATGTATACAGCCCTTGCATTGACATCTTTTAATAATAACATTCTGTTTTTTACCAAGGTCAAATATGTCAAAGCATCATCATACTAGTGTAGTTAGTATAAATATGTATGCCAGACCCCTTATGGCGTTTGTATTTTCAAGCTTTTGAATTTCTCAGGACCTGTTTTTTGTTTCCTTTAGATTGACAGAGTGTATTTGAGCACCCCAACAAAGATTGCCATAATAGACCATGAAAAGAAGAGAACCTTTGAGCTGAGGAAAGATGGCATGCCAGACTCAGGTCCATGACATTTCTCTCACTAGTAATGTATCTTATTACAGTTTCTTTATATTTAAGTTCATTTCTTGTCATGTACCTGGTTTACTGAGGTTGTCCCTTAAAAATTTCGAAAACCTCGCATTGCAGTTGTATGGAATCCTTGGGACAAAAAGGCTAAAGCTCTGCCAGATATGGGGGATGAGGATTACAAAACCATGTTATGCGTGGATTCTGCTGCAATTGAAACTTCAATAATGTTGAAACCCTTTGAAGAGTGGAAGGGCCGACAAGAACTCTCTACCGTGTCATCGAGTTATTGCAGTGGGCAGTTGGATCCTCGGAGGGTTCTTCATGGCTTTCACTGAGCTCATCGATGGAGATTAGATGGAGAACTCCTTGTAATTTACATAACTTATCTTATTTAATGTAGCAATATGCATACACCCGCTAGTCCATGTATCATCTATGATGTGTTATTTAAGCCAGCTGTATGTAGTAGCTAGCAACATCATTCAAAGTATCACAGGGTTGAGCAACATAAATATTATCAGTGTTGCCTCTTTGTGATGATGAGGAATGCCGCATTTATCTGTATCGAAACATTATCGAGTGAAAGATTATCCAAAAAGAAATCTTTTAGTTCCGAGTTATATGATTTCTATATTCAACAAATGCATGATATTTGATCACAAAAACAGAAAATTTAGAATTGACGACACTTGGAATTTATTCAATAATTGCTCGGTCACAAAGTAGACTTGGATCTTATTCCCTTCAATACTAGGATCTGTTTCAGTGCAGGATTAGAAGTGAGAGCATGGACGTTCCAAATTTCTCTTTGGCCAATGGATCGTCTCCCAGGTACACGTTAATGTATGCCCTGCAGAGAAGTTCACTCTCCACCCTGCTCACCAGCTCATCCTTCACTGCATCCACCAAACAAGCATTGTCAAATTTCTATAAAGTGTAACTGGATATGTAAATTTTAAACAGTTAACATTTTCATCTTCGTATCCAACCTTTGGTTTCAAGAATGTGTCCAGGAAGACGAGAAATCTCAATTACAGAACCAGCTGGGAGCTTGATGTCATCTGAGGCCTGACCCATCACCCTAGAATCAACAAAGTAGACTCAAATTTTCGGGAAAAATCTCGCTATTTCCAAGTAAAAATATGCAGTTGAAGTGGCATGGACTGTACAGTTAATTGCTCTGGCTAGCTCATCATTCTTCTTCTCACCACTGAGTTTCTTTATGGATGCTCCAAGGCCACCATCAAAATTTTTTCTTACTGTTGACGCTTGATTTTGGACGCCAATGACTCGCATGTGGGAACGCTGAGCTGACTGAGGAGACACACGTGATGGATCCATGAGATTGAATATGGAGCTGAGATTATATATGTTGCAGAAAAATTAAATAAAAGATTGGTAAGAGGGGTTTTTATAGTGGTTCGGATGCAACAAGCGACTCCTACATCCACTGTTATTTTATTGATCTTTGACTATTTCTATAATTTTGCCCATAAAACAATAAAGATGAAAATACTTGTTTACAAAGAGAGAATGAAAATGAAGCTCAAATCTCAGCCCAGCCCCCCGCCCCCCTTCTTCGAAAAGAGAAATGCCCATTTATTCACCCAAACACTCATGTAATGAGTGTTTTGCAAGCTGCCTTGACACATGGAGACTCTCGTCCATTCATCTCTTGAAAGGAGATATAACTGGTGAGAAATATTTGGAGATATGGGTTTTGGCAGCTGGTACAAGAAGATATTAAATGAGCTGACATGGGCGTGACTTTTTAGGCATAACACTTACCATGCTCATGGGGAGGTTGAAAATCACTACCAGCCTCCCCGTCATCCCCAGATCACTATCAATAGCCACCATATACAATTCCTCTCGGGTTCGCTGGGGCTTTCCCTATCTTTGACTTGAGAACATCTTTCCGTTTCTCATTGTCCGCATACATCCCTACAGTTAGAGTTTCTATCAGTTCAAGATTCTCTTCCGTTGTTATTTGTATGCATTCCATAATATTGGAACCAAATAAATGAAATATTGATAGAAATTTCCCAAGCCATAATCTTGACTGCAATGCCCAGGACTTCTTCCTCAAACCACACAATTCAGCTGCTTCCCATCATCCAGCTTGACGGGAAAGGAAACCCCAGCTCCTCATCTTTCTCATTAGTTTCCTTGAGCAGCCTGGCTCCGTTCTCACAATTCACTTTCTCTTTTCCAAACTCTCATCAATTGAAAGCATTGAATCTTGGCATCTCATCCTCTGTTGTGGTTGTCATTCTTCAAAATGAAAAAAAAGAGATGGTGAATGTTTTTGTGCTGTGCTGGTTGGGATGCAACTCATAGCAAAGCATGAATTCATATAGGGAAGGAAGATAATAGCATTGATGACATTTTTATGTGTCTCATTCACCCACCGTCGTATCACCATTAGAAAAGAGAATTTAATAAATTAATCTCTATTCTTAACTCTGTAAATCTCCCCCTGATTTAACAAATTTTATGAAGCCAAACTGATAATTCAACAATAAAGGGAGAATTGGAGATGAATTATGAACTCATATATCAGAAGTTTTATCTAATAAAAAGAAGTGAATTCACACATATCAAGAGCAGAGCTCACATTTATGGTGTTATTGAACAGAGAGAGACCTTCTCTTCATCTTCCGTCATAGACTAGCATTGAATATTCATATTTTTTAGCTTAGCACCTCGACTAATCCTCCAGAATCCTGAATCATTCATATTTAGGATCTGTTTGATACAGCTTATTCGAATAAAGCTTATGAAGTAAGCTTTTATGAAAAATCGTTCACCTATTTGATTAAAACAATGTAAAAGAGCTTTGAAGTCTTTAATTATCAAAAAAAGACTTCATATACACAAGCATAACAATTTGATCCACTCCCGACTTTCCTGATGAGCTGTCTGATTTTTTGAGGTTTGAAACATTTGAGCTCAAGCCCGTGTTTTCTCCCCTTCCCTTGCAAACCAGTTTGTTTACTCGTAAATCTCGAGTACACTCCAAATGTACTCCAAACATGAAGAAGTAAACCATCATTAGATGAACCGGTGGTCAAAAAGCAAAAAAAGGTTACATGAGTTTTTGAGTTTTAGTCTCCCTAGGCTTAATAGGGATAACCATGAACCTTATCCAGCCAACAGTTTCAAGCTCCAGAGGATTAGTTGAGGTACGCAAAGCTAGCCTAGACACTCCCGATGATCAAAAAATAATTAAAAAAAAAAGGGAGAAGTGCATGAGGTTCTTTTTACCTTGGTGCCTGCCCCACAATCTGTCGCCACCATTGGTGAATCTGAGGATTTTGTGCAGGAGTGGTCCAAGGCAGTTGAATGCTTAGGAAAGGCTCGACGGGGATAGTTACTGGATTTTCTGCACGTAGGGGGTTTGCTTATTCCATAATCTACGGACACTTCTCTAAGAAAGTCCTTACCAGTTATTTGCCGGTATTGAGATTATAGGATTCTATACTGGTCAAATATTGCTTTTATTATTTATTGTATAGAAATTAAACTGAAGCTGGTTCTAAGCAGAACCTGTGAATAAAATTAAAAATAATTGCCAGCCCCAAAGTCCAAGACTCCGATCCAATTCATATTCCAAACATAGGCCCTAGAATCGATTTCAGTTTTAGAAGCATCAAGATGCCAGTTTATCTGTGAGGAAGTCATTTGGAACTAAATGTCAAGTGAAGGGCAATTTCAAGGCGTGAGGTTGATTGTGCCTGAAACAAAAACTTGACATACAGCTCCATCCATAACTGAGGCAAGGAAACAAAATTAATTTTCATTAATAATGTTTAAGAAATATAGGGTTATTTTGTTTTATTGTTTATTAAGGGTAGAATAGTCTTTCAGTTTCCTTTGTTTAGCCTATTATAGTCTCTTTGTATTTAGGTTAAATTATTCTTTTGTATTCAATTGCATTGTGCAGTATCAATAAAACCCGAGCCTCCTCTTTTTCTTATTTCTTTGGATTGTTTACATGGTATCTGAACAGGTTCATGGGACGAGGCTAATCTTAAACACAGCTTACGTGGATCCAACTGGTATTTCGTCCTCCTTTTTTTTTTGGAGTGACCGTACAATTTCGAGAGGGTATTCGTTCAGTTTCTACAATTTAGTATTTCATTTCCTTCTTTTGCATTCTGCTTTTCTTTGTTTTTTTATTTGGCTACTGAAAGAGACAATTCGCTTCAGTTTGTAAGTGTGAGGTTAGATGAAAATTATTCGTATTGGAGTTATGTGATGAGAAATTCTCTTAAGGGTAGAAAGATGTGGGGATATGTTGTGGAACTTCTGTGAAACCTAGGAATACTGATGAGGGTTATACTGCTTTATAGATGCCTGGGAAGCAAACAATGCAAAAATTATCACTTGGATTAACAATTCTGTTAAGCATTGCATAGGTCACAGTTGGCGAAGTATGAACAGCAAATGAGGTTAGGATCATCTGCAAAAGTTATTTACTCAATCAAATTTTGCAAAGCAGTATCATGGAGAATGACATACGAGCTCTTCAGCAGAAATATGATTATTCATGGTTTTATCTGCTATGACAATCTTTGGATCAATTGGCTCTTACAGAATCTGCAAAATTAAAGGCATGGTGCCTATATTGCTCGTAGAGAGCAACAATGTTGGTATAGTTTTTAACGGCACTTCATAGTATTTGAAGGACTTAGAGGTTCAATTTTGCATCGTTCTCCCCTTCCTTCATTGACTCAGTTGTTATGAGTTATTGGCTGAAGAATACGTCTTAAGTCTTATTCTGAAAGGGATTCTTTCTACTTCTATCCTTCTGTGTTGCAGTACCTTCTAAGCCACTCTTTAATAATCAAAATAAGCCTTACACAAGGTTGCCTTCGACGAGTGCAGTTTCTGTAAGCAAAAAGGTCATTAAAAGACTCAGTGTCCTAAGTTGAGACAGCGAATCAATCGCAGCAGCAATCTCAAGTTTGGAACTGGCAACCAGTCACAATCTATGCTTATAGACCACCCAGGGTTACAAACCACCACAGTCTAATACTACTCAGTGAGTTTATCAGGTCCTTTCACCGATCCTAGTACTCTAGCTGAGCAATTTTAGAAGTTTCTCTCCTTATAGCTGTTGTGGATTTTCGTAAATATATGAAATCGTGCAAGCAATAAAGTGTATAAATACGAATATCGAACCCAAGGAAATTGCTATTATCAATTACCAAATAAACTATCCTATTCTATTTGATCAATCCAATTTTATCAAGGAAACCCTAAATTAAATAAAATTACAATTGAAATTAAAAGAGAACAATTAAAATAAACTTTTGGGTAAAAACAAGATGACTAACCTAGGCATAGACTTCACACCAATTCCTATTCATATGCATCGATCTCTCATGCTAATTTGATTAAGCCTTTCCTACAGGTCAAACTCCTAAATTTCCAATAACTTTCTCTCGAACAATTACAATTAACCCCTAATTACTAATCCGAATTATCTCTAATCAATTTAAGCAATTGGGGATCATTACGCTCTATGGAGTTTACCAAAACCTCACAAGTCGTAGTAACCTCTCTAGCGTTCGCTCAACCTATGGTTTGATACCGTAGACCAACTAAGTATCAT